TGTAGCATTGCAAAAAAAGAGAATAAGTTCATCTTGTGCTGACCACAATCTTCCAGGTCTGAAAGTACAAATCTCCTGTATCTTTTTTTACATCTGATAAATTAGGGAGGATCCTTTCTGTTTGTGTGTGTATGTATGCACCAGAGGTGGGTTTCTGCTGGCATTACTGCTGGTTCGTGTGCACGTGATTTTGCACAGGTGCGCTTGCTTCACTCACACACTCTTGTGTGCAGTTGCCTGTAAATAGGTCTGCGCATGTGCAGAACATTTTAAACGGTAAAAAAAGATGTCGCGGTAACCAGGGAACCAGTTTGGGGGTGTGACGAACATGAGGTCCCTACTGTTCAGCGACCCAGTCACCATTTCTACAACCGGTTCCATTGAACATGACCTTCTACTTACTTAAGAACTTCCCACATGAGTGTCTATGGAGACTCTCAGTCATCCAGGTCATGAATGCTGGTTCAGACCTGAAGATGCTTCTTGGATGAGAAGCGAAACGTCTTCAAGGAAAAACAAAGAAAGTCCAGTTGCCTCTTTAAAAGGCACTTTTGGTATTCCCACTTGATTATTATTTATCTATTATGATGGAAGAAGATTGCTAGTATGAAAAACACTTTGTGTTTTGGGCATCTTTAAAAATGTAAAGTGTGAAGGCAACAAACATATTTTCAGATTTTCACATGAATATACATGGCAGGAAGTTGGGGTTTATTATTGAGTATATGTCCTGCTAAAATGTCAGATTTCTTTCTATACAATATATGAAATAGATTATGGCAAAAACCTTGTTTTATAGGCTGTTGGGCTTGATAATTATCAAGCCCAACAGCCTATAAAACAAGGTTTTTTTAAAAATGGAAATAACTAACTTATGAAAATCTCCATTTCTCCTGAGCTATGTTTTAATAAAAATAGTTTAATATTACTTGAAAGATAATGGATGTTAGTAACTAATGCTATAATCCAGTATGGTAAACCCAGCCATCATAATTTAATGGTTGCATGAGTTCTTAATTTTCCTAAATTATTGGCTTCCAATGCTCAAGGAATTTTCTAAACTTGTAAAGGAGAATTTTAATGTTTTGAAAAATTTAAACAAAGTAAGTGAAATTATTGTGTAACATGAAAGTAAATGTTTCATCTCTCATAGTAGAAAAACATTATCATGACGTTTCTTTGGAAAAAGCTGCAGGGATCACTGTGTCCTAAAATTTAACAGAAACATGGGCAGTCTCTGAATTTATGGTTGGAAAATTATTACTTTTAATCATATACACAAACGTGTGTTTAAGAATGTATCTGATGCACAAAAATCTATGTGGATATTCCAATTTCCAGAATTCTCAAAAATAGCAATTCTTTCTAGGAGGTTTTGTGTGTTCAAAATAGGTCCCAGCTTGAACAGCATAAGAACCTATACAAATACAATATAGAAATCATTGCCAAAACATTACAGTGTAGTCACATTTAATACATAATATTCCCATGCAGGGAGGACAGGAGGAATGAAAGAGAGAGAGAAATGGCCAGAAAATAAGCAGTAACAAATGGAAAACAGTGGAAGAGAACAGAAATGAGCAAATGTAGAGTGAAAAGTTTAGTTACCCCCATTTTGACAAAAAAAATCAATCTGTATTCAACATTATGAAAATTGCTAAGCACTTGGTGTTAGAGAATATCTTGAGCATATTATTTTTATTAGAAATTGGCAATGATAATGTGGATTTGAAGAGAGAAATGTTCCACATGTAGTTTTTAACACATATTTTATCTTTCAGTTTAAAAAACATGATACCTTTTTAGAAGAGACACAATTTCACCAATAAACTAGATATTCAATTTAATGGAAGTAGAATTAATTATAGTAATTGACCAATTCAGAAACAAAGAAAAGGAATGGTTATTGCAAAACAGCAAGGAAAAAACATTGTTAAAACTTAATAAATATACATTTTATATTTATATAATTTTGATGTGCTGTATTTTATAAATAGGAAAACAAAACACACTCACATTCAGAGAAACAAAATCACACTGATCACATAGTAATAACTAAAAATTAAATGTATTTGGGTCTCTTGGAAATCTAAGACTTATTAGCTATAATTGGGCACCTTTATCATTGCAGTATAACAAAACATGGGTTAAAGTTTCAGGAACATACGTAAGAGCAACGGGTTTTTTAAAGTGGGAGATTCCGTAATTTCCCTTCAAAGACAGCTGTTGGAAGGGCATTACATTTTGCCAGATTTGGATTGTTCTGAATTTGGGAATTCAGTCAGTGTTATGATTTACATAACTAGAGCCGAGGTGGCGCAGTGGTTAAATGCAGCACTGCAGGCTACTGCTAGATCAGCAGTTCAGCGGTTCAAATCTCACCGGCTCAGGGTTGA